TTTAAATCAATAGGTAAAGTCTTTAATTGCATATTATTACAAAGCTCACAGAAGTTTACAACATTAAATTGCATTATAGAAATTCATGCATGGTACAGAGAGTTTCATAACAGGACCCAGCAAAATGTTAAGATTGTGACTCTTCACTACACAGTCAGGTGAAAGTAAATATTGTTACCTTCTATATTTACAAAGCCCATTGTTGAGGTCCTGAATCTAACAAATGAATACAGCATAAAATTGGAATAATGACATTCATATATGAATCTTGTCACGGGTGGGATGGTGACTCATTTATGGATCCAGCTCATAGGCAAAGTAATGAGTCTCACCCCTGAACCCAGACTACAGAAGAGATATTGACTATTATACCTGGGTTTAGGTCAGTATGTATGATCATGAACCCTTACGAGCATGTAGTCCCAGAGTGATTTGGAACTCTCATGAATGCTGCCTAAATCCTTTGAATGTTTTAGAGGGTAATAAATAGCCCAGGAACACATTACATTGTCACTCTCATATACAAACCCAGCTCACAGTTAATGATACCATCCTCAAAGATAAAGAGATTTGCCATATTAGTAGGCCTAGTACCCAGATTTTAAGACTTTTTGGCTTAAATTTCTTCACATGGGTATATTGTGACATCTTGGTGGATTAGATTCATTATAAACTGACTCTTCTACGTGGACCCTGCCAACAGAGTATATTATAATGTATCAATGGAGCTATAAACTAGGTGATTTGTCTCTCCTGCCTGTGCCCTGACCTCAGAGGATATTATAAAATATTGTATGACTTAACATCTAGATTATAAGACTCTTCATTCCTGCCTGGGTTCTGCAACTCAAAGAAAATTTGACATACCACTGATTGCAAAATCTATGGTATGTAACTGTATATTCTACATTTTTGACAAGAGAGGGTATTATTACATATTTTAGAACCCAGGCACCTAAGTGGAGTGACTCCCTATCGGTATTAACCAACCATACCTAGCATTTCTACATATTTGCACCCACACCTTCTTTAAAGTCATATTATTTATATGCTCTGGATCTATCATCCACAACCTTAATAACAAACAAGACATTCGGAAGATAAGAGGGTTATTTAAAATAATACCCCTTACCCTCCTCCTCCTTCTTCTTCCTTCTCCCCCGCTGCTGCCGCTGCTGCTTCTGCTTCTTCTCTTCTCCTCCCTCTCATTCTTCTCCCCCTCCTCCTCCTCCTCCTCCTCCTCCTCCTCCTCCTCCTCCTCCTCCTCCTCCTCCTCCTCCTCCTCCTCCTCCTTCTTCTTCTTCTTCTTCTTCTTCTTCTTCTTCAGAAAGAGTCATGCACTGTCATCTGGGCTGTAGTGCAGTGGTGCCACCTTCATGTGCTGCAACTTCCGACTTATGGGTTCAAACGATTTTTCTTCCACAATATCTTTAGTAGCTGGGATTACAGGCACTAGCCACCATTGCCAGATTTGTGTGTGTGTGTGTTTGTTTTTTTGTGTTTTTTTTTTTTTTTTTTTGTATTTTCAGTAGAGAGGCAGGATCACTATTCTGGCTAAGCTTATTTCAAACTCCTGACTTCATAATATGCTACCATCAGCCTCCCAAAATGCTGGGATTACAGGCATGAGCTGCCACATTCTGTGGATTCTTCTCTGTTTATTCTACCCTGTCTACAGTGGGCTTCTTGACATACAATTTAAGGCTGTCACCAGGTGATATAACTCTTCTGACTAGGCCCATCCTACAAATGGGATTATCCTGTATCACTGTCTCAAAACCCAGCTGATGTGACTATTCTGCATTGTCATTGCTTACAGTTGAACTTGTGAAATATATCTGAGTTAAGAACACATGTGTGATAATACCAGACCTGGACCCAGTCAACAGAGATATTTTTACTCTATAGCCAGTTTCATGGTCATGGATAAAGTCCTGAGTTTTTCACTTGTATCAAATTCACAAAGTATTACAACATTGAGATGTATCATATAAAAACTGAAAGGTACAAAGAATGTCATAACAGGCAACTAGGTGTGAATGCAACCCTTGTATGCACATCTAGTTGACACATTTGTCATTCTAACACATAAAAATGTTCTAGGAATGAGCTACTAAATCTCACACATAAAAAGCATTTGAAGGTTGAAATAATTACTCTCATAGGTGAATCTCATTCACAGATAGTTTGATAACATTTGCAGTATGGTTGAGCACACCTGTGATGCTGTGACTGCCCTACTTGAACACAATCTTCACGTGGGATTGGGGCTCTTATATGTGGATGTTGGCCATTGTTTAGATTGTGACTCCTCTACTTTGACTCAATCCATAGAAAGGATTGGCTCACACACATGAAACCAGGATTTGAGACTTATTTCTGAACCTTACTGACAGTGTGATTGTGAGAGGTAACTTTGCCAAGCACATAAATAATTTCACCATCATTTCTAGGCCAGACCACAAAGAAATTGAGCCATATGTGGAAAAAGTACTTAAGCATTACAGAACACCTGCCTTGGCTCTACCTTCAAAAAGCAAATTTATATATATATATATATATAAAAATATGTATTTTATATATATAATATATATTATATATAATATATACACACATATACACACACACATATATATATATATCACTTGCACCGTCACCCAAACCTACCTACAAAGAAAATTGTGTCTTATATCTAGGTTCACCACATAAGTGATGTAACTTTCTTCTATTGCTTATGCCCTGCACTTACAGTGCATCATGACATATAACTGGGTACTGCAGTACTGCACCCAGGTAATGTTTGCGTTCTGCCAACAGAAATCATTGTAACATATTCCTTGGCTCAGCACCTAAGTGATGTTTCTTCGCTTTTCCCTGAGACCTGACAACAGGGAGACTGTGACATATTGTTGAGCCAAACACCAATATGAGTTCACTCTCTAGCCTTGGTACTGCAAATAAGGGCCACTGTGCCATATATCTAGGCCAACTGCCTTGGTGAAGTGAATCTCTTCCCTTACCAAAGGCCTGCCTACAAAGAAAGTTTTGATACATCACTGAAACCAGCATACAGGTGATGACTCTTTCAATAGGGTCCTGCCCACTAGTTGGATTTTGGCATCTCCGTGGACCCACACTTAGGAAGGTAATTTCACTTTCTTGCCTTCTCTTGACCAAAGATGGTATTCTGCCATATACCTGAGATCATAACAAAAGCCTAAGAACAACTCATATGTCTGGAACCAGGACATGTGCAGGATGGTGACCACTCATGAGTGTAATTGTGACATATACCTTTGACCAAGGTGTTTAATAATTTAATTTAATAATTCTGACAAAGTATAGCACACAAGTGAGATTTTGACAAATACCTGAGACAAACACCTTGGTGATTTGACTGTGATATCTTAACAATATTCTCAGGGGTATTGTAACATATTTCTGGACCCACAATCTAGGTTACATGACTCTCCTCTTCTGCCTGTATCCTGCTTCCTTTGATAATTTTAGCATTTCTCAACACTGCATCCAAATGATATGACTCACTTTCCTGGGCCCTGTCAACAGGAGGCATTGTGACATATTTTGGGGTGCATAATTTAGGTGATACGACTCTCCTCTCTTGCTTGGACACTCACTGCCCAAATAACATTCTGATGCAAAGCTAGACCTGGCACACAAGTTATATGATATTTCTGACAGGACCCTACATGCAAAGAAAATATTGAAATACTCCTAACCCAACATTTAAGTGATGGTGCTGTTCTGCCTGCTTCATAACCACAGAGTGAATTGTATCATATACCTAGGCACAGCTCACATGATATTGACTCTCATATGTGAAGTCAGCCAATAGAGGATATTTTTTTTCTTGTAATGAGGTTTAGGGATATTTGTGATATCCTGGATCACCTTCCTGTACAAAGGTCACAAAAGATTATAACACTCAGATATATTTTATAAAGTCTTTGGGTTTTACAGACAAAGTCAAAGCCAGGCTCAACATACAGCTGAAATTGCATCTTGTTTGCACACTCAGGTGACAGTAAGGACTGTCATCATCCCAATGTGGCTGAAGACAAGTGTCACAAAGGAAAACAGGACAGGTGTGGTATTATAAATATCATCTGTGGAATTTTCTGAACAGTGTGATTGTGATTTAAATCTTTGCCAATCTCCTGTGTAATTTGACTCTCCATATTTGTTCCAGGCCATATATAGGATTGCAAAATATACCTAAGCCAATCTTAAGGTAATCTGACTGTCCTGCCTTGGCCCTTCCCTTAGTGAAGACTGTGACATGTGATTGGATCTAGTAATCTAGTACACAGGTGATACTATATTCTTGCCTGCACCATGCACACCAAAATTATTGTCATATATTTCTGTGTGTACTTCGTAGGTAATGTAAATCTCCTCTCTGGAATGAGCCCTGCACAAAGAAAGAATAGTGACATATTTCCAGGCAAGATATACAGGTTAGGGTACTCTTTTGCCAGAGCCATGGCCAAAAAAGGGCATTGTGACTTTTCTCTTGGCCTGTAACTTACATTATGTGGCTCTCCTGCTTGGCCCCTGCCAACCTTCAGTGACATATTTCTAGGCCAGGCACACAGGTGATGGTACTCTTTTGCCAGGGCTATGCTTTATAGTCACACTGTGACTTTTTTTAGGCCTATTATCTAGGTGAAGAGACTCCCTCCTTGGGTCCTACCCACATGGAGCATTGTGCCATTAACAGAAGACCTACACCTAGGTAATGTAACTCTCTTTGCTGGGTGCTTTCCTAAAACAGCCTTGTGATGTATTTCAGGACCCAACACTCAAGTGATGGGTCTCATCTGCGTGGTTTCTGCCTGAAAGTTACATTGTGACATATTCCTAGGGAAGCACCTAAGTGATATAACTCTCTTCATCTGCCTGAGCATTGCCTACTTGGGATATTGGGACATGTATCTGAGCCCATGACCTAAGTGATGTGACTCTCTTTTTCTGCCTAGGTCTTCACAATAGAAGCATTTTGGCACATTGCAGAGTCCAGCACTCAGGATATGCGACATTCCTCTCTTTCCTGTACCCACAAATGAGGAATTTTGACTTATTTCTTGGCTTAGCAACCTGATTATGTTACTCTTCTGCCTGAGTTTAGCCTGAAGAGGAAATTATGGCATATTGCATATTGCTGTGCACAGGACCCTTATGATGTGACTCTCTTGTCATTACTGAAGCTACTGAAGGTATTTTGACATATCTTGGGTCCATTATACGGTGTTTTTTTCTCTCACAATTTGGTTTTTCCACATGTGGGATGGTGTCATATTGCTTGGTCCAGCACCTTGTTAAGATGACTCATCTTCCTATACCCTGCCTGGAGAAGACATTGTAACATATTGCCTGGAACAGCAATCAAATGATGTCACCCTCCTGCCTAGTTTTTTGTCCACATATTGGATTATAACATATACCGTGCTTAAGTTAACAGAGATAATAATCAAACTTATATTGGTAATCAGCCAACAGGAGATATTTTGTCTCTCATGTTAGGCTTATGTTAATAGGTAAGGTCCTGGGTTACATGTTTGTACAAAACTTACTTATTTTGTTTAAAATCTTCGGTGATAGAAAGTTTCATAACAAGGCCCAGTAAAAGGTTCAGATTGGAACTATCAGTTACAAACCCAGGTAAAGTTCAAAGTTGTCACCATCCCACATTTACAATGCCCACTGTTGAGGTTCTGTGTCTAACAAGGGAATATAGCACTAAGTTGGAGTTGTGAAATTTATGTGGGAATCTGGCCACAGATGGAATGCTGACACATTTATGGACCCAGCCCACAGGAAAAATGGTCTTCTCCCTTAACCCTGCCTATAGGAGAGATGTTGACTGTCAAACCAGGGTTTATGGCACTATGTAAGATTGTGAGTCCTTAGTAGTATGTAGGCCTCAGAGAGGTTTGCAACTCTGCTGCAGGTTTTAAAAAGCTCTTGGTTGTTGTAGAGACTTTCATACTTTGGCCCAGCACATATGAGATTGTGAGTCTAATATACATGCTCAGTTACAAGGTAAAGGTGTCACCCTCAAAGACAATGAGATTGTGTCATATCACTGTGTCTCGTACTCAGGTCTTGAGAGTTTTGGGCTCAAATTCCTTTCCATGGTTGCACAGTTACCCTTCGCTGGGTTAGAATCATAATAATGTGACTCTCCTGCCTGGGTGCTATCAACCAGATATATTATCAATATTCTTGTCTGTCTTATTTCAGAAAGCCAGTCTTGAAGCTATGAGATTCTTTCTGTTGCTTGGCCTATTCTGCTGTTAATACTTGTGATTATATTGGAAAGTTTTCTCGTTGTTTTTTCCAGCTCTATCCTATTGGCCCCATTTTTCTCCAGACTGGCTCTTTTGTTGTTGTTGTTGTTTGTTTGTTTGTTTTTGCCAGTTTCTTCATTTTTTTTTCCCTTTCTGGCACTGAACTTACTTTTGTCATTCAGTGAAGTTTATTTCTGTCCATATTCTAAATTATACTTCTGTCATCTTAGAGCTTGCTGGAAATGTAATTTGGTCACACAGAGGAAAGAAGTCTCTCTGGCTTTTTGTGTTTTCAAAATTTTTGCACTGATTTTGCCACATGTTTATGGGCATATGTTTGTGGTTGTTGATCTTTGAATGGGATTTTTTAAAATTCTATTTGATGGTCTTGTGTATTTGATTGTGGTATAAGGTGTTTGCAGCCAACAGGCTTAGTTCCTGCTAGATTCATTTTTTGGGGGGTCTTGGTTTGGAGGGCAATGCTCACCTCACAACTCAGAGGTTGCATAGTCTGGATGACTTGTATTGAGCCCCAACTCTTTTCCCTGGCCCCCTGATATTTGAAGTTTCCCACTCTGTGGGACTAAGGTTACACAGCTGCCGCAGAGTACAAGCGAATATAAGGTTTCTCCCTGTCTTTGGGCATTCAACTCTGTGGTAGGAACAAAGCAGCTGGGAGGAGAGTGCTGCTGGAAATGTGGTGCTATTGTACTAAATGTAGGGTTTGCTTATGGCAGGATGCTGACCAGAGAAGTTTTTGATGCCTCCTTTGTGACCCTCAAGAAAGAGTGTTCAGAGTGTATTAGCATACCTTTTTCTCTGAACAATGTAAGCACAAAGGCAGGGGTGTGGCTTTCTGGCTCTTTGCCCAGCAAAGCTTCATCTGCAATGGCAGTTGCTGGGAGTTTCAGGGAAATACTGCATTCCCAATTGCTGGTGGGGCAAGCAAAGACAAACCCTCCTTTGCAGACATGTGCCAACAAAGTAATATCTGGAGCCATCATGGTGTCAGGGGAAGCTGCAATATGGGGAAGAGACATATGGGCTGATTCAGTCATAGGGGCTACCTTGCTGAGCTCTACAGGTGTCAGGCATGGCCCACCAGTGCAGGTGCAATGGTTTGGGCTCCCAGAGTACCTGAGACTGCCCTGTATGTATCAGTAGCCAGACTGGGTCCCTGGTGAGGTGAGCAGACCAAGGAGTGCTCAGTTGGAGTTGCTTTTCCTGATTTACCTGATCATCCTGCAGAAATTAGCTCCAACAGTTCTGCTAGGGCTAAAGTATCTAATGGAACAAAGTTGAGCCTAGAGAAACGACCACCATTGGCCACACTTTACTACAGATGCTCTTGTGCCTAACCATCTGAGCTTGCTTACTGCCACACCATTTTGCTTGTCTTCCAGGGGCTGAATCTCAGAGAGATGTAGGTCAGCAATCCCTCAGTGCAGTCAACACAGGATGAAGGATCTGTGCTTGTGGTCAAATTAGGGGTTCACTGTCTGGTGAGGAGCATTGGTTAGTTTGTGGAAACCATGGAGGATAAACTGGTCTTTTCTCCTTGGGTGAGCTGCAGCTTGTTTGAGGTGTGAATAAGGCACTTACTTAGGGTTTTGGATTTTTTATTAATCTGCCGGTAGAAAGGACAGATCTCCTGCAGATGTAGTGGCAGAAATATTTTCAGTTGCCCCTGCAGACTCTGTCTAGGGAGTTGTTAAGTTGATACTGGCTCAATAGCTCTGGCAATGATTGGCTAGTTCCCCAGTCCTGGAGAATATGCCCAGTGAGAATATATGAGAACAGGCACTCACGTAAGTTTCTCGGCACTTGTCTGAAGGGATGGTGCCATATGTTGGGTGTTCACTGAAATTTCTATTCACCTTAGATTTTCCAGTACCTAACGTTATCACCAGTGAATGCTGCAAAACAGCAACAATGGTGGCATGACTTGTTCTGTGGGAGCTCCATCACAGAGAGGTATAGACCTGTTTTTAGCCCAAAGGCACCTGTCAGAGGTATCTAGAAACCCTTTTTGAAAGGTCTTACCCTTTGAGGAGAACATGTAAGGGGAACCATAATTCTTTCACAAATCTTTGCAATCGTCAGGTAAGGAGGTATCTTCATGAATCCACTTCATTAAGGCCTTCAGTTTAACACACAGAGCTACATGGTGTCTCAGCAGAGCAGTCACTCAGGCCTGTGCAGAGATTCAAGGACTTTAAATACTCTGGTTTTCCAGGCTTCCCAGAAAAAGCATCTGCAACAGGAGGTCACACCCCTGTACATACCTATAGAAACTAGGCCTGACTCCATGTTGTTCTATTTCTCCACCTCCTCTCCAGCACCTGTTGTTTCATAAGCCAAAATTTTTTTGTTATTGTGTTAAGGCTATTTTACATTAAATATTTTCCTTGCTGCTGATGTATAACTCACAATGCAATCCCTCCCCCCTCCCCCCTCCCCATGATAGGCCCCGGTGTGTGATGTTCAAGGGTAGGTCACAGTACTGTTCACTACAGATGCAATAATTTTGAAAAAAAATGAACCATGTTTTCTAAGAATGATGGTTTCCAGCTGCATCCATGTCCCTACAAAGGACACAAACTCATCCTTTTTTATGGCTGCATAGTATTCCATGGTGTATATGTGCCACATTTTCTTAATCCAGTCTGTCACTGATGGACATTTGGGTTGATTCCAAGTCTTTGCTATTGTGAATAGTGCCGCAATGAACATACGTGTGCATGTGTCTTTATAGCAGCATGATTTATAATCCTTTGGGTATGTACCCAGTAATGGGATGGCTGGGTCATATGGTACATCTAGTTCTAGATCCTTGAGGAATCGCCATACTGTTTTCCATAATGGTTGAACTAGTTTACAATCCCACCAACAGTGTAAAAGTGTTTCTATTTCTCCACCTCCTCTCCAGCACCTGTTGTTCATAAGCCAAAATTTTTGTTATTGTGTTAAGGCTATTTTACATTAAATATTTTCCTTGCTGCTGATGTTAACTTATCCCATCTTACCCAAACTTGTAGGTAACAGATGGTAACAGTAGGTGATTACAATGGTTCTAATAAAGACTACGTGAGTATAATGGAACTATATATTTCTGAATTCTGAACAACAGTTTACAAAATTTTATTATGTTTTTGTTGTTGAATATTGACTTCTCTGGTTTGCTTAACCCATACAAACCTTTCGTTTTTATTTACATGGATTTAAAAATACATATCTATTACCTAATAAATGTTAGGTGTGACAAATTTATGAAGAATAATCAAATTTGTTTATGGTTCTGTATTTACTTTCAGAGGGAAAGAAAATCATTAGAATAAAACAGATAATTTTACAAGTGTTGATCATTTAGCAGCAAACCAGAAACTTTAAAGATTTTGAAAGCAAATCTGTTTTCTCTGCTTTGCATTAAATTCATTTATCTAAAATGTTACTGCTCCTGGCTTAGAATCATATTGTGCAAATTCATTTTTTTTTGTTTTTGTTTTTCTTCTGGCCTGCTGCTCACTGTAGACAATATATAATTTTCATATAATTTTATAAAACATTCTTTGTATAATCCCATCAGAGATTATAAAAGTGACTTTGATAAAATTTAATGTTGTTCACAATTTTATTCTCATGTAATTTCACAGTGCATGTATTATTATATGTTAATTATTTAGTACATTTTATATTTTATTTCAATTAGAGATATTGTTTAATCTAATTTTCATTTAGTTATTGTTCATTTTACTTTATAAAATTTACATAATTAAATTTATTAATTTTATTATGTCAATTTATTCAAGTAAACAGTTGAAAGTTTAATAAGTTATGATGGCTCTTTGGCATATACATTAAGTAAACAAAGACAACACTAGCTATCTAATAAAAACTACCTAATTAGAAATAAATATTATTTTTGAAATTAGCTTGTGGTCTCAGGTGAAAAATTAAAAATATCTGTAGTAAAGAAATGACATTATTTCTTCATATTAAGAGAAGATATTGTAACTATGCTGTATAATCGACACTCACAATGGAAACAAGATGAAGAGATAGGCATTTCAGCAAAACTAAATGAAAACCTTATAAAATCTTCAGCCATGCAGCCATGTTTCTTGATTTAAACATCTCCTGGAGTAGGTAGAGGGTAAATCTATGCAGTCAAACCTGGAATTGCTGAGACATGTTAAAATATGCACCATCAGTATTGAAACCTAAAATGCCCTGAACTGTTTTCATTTAGATTAACAAAATATGGTTTTAGTCCTACTTCTCTATGTCCTGGCTTAGGCAGAATTATCAAGCCATTTTAAGTAGATTTGATTCTAAGTTTTGTTGTTGTTGTTGTTTTTGAGATGGAGTCACCCAGGCTGGAGTGTAGTGGTACGATTTTGGCTCACTGCAACCTCTGCCTCCTGTGTTCAATCAATTCTCCTGCATCAGCATCCAAAGTAGTTGAGACTACTTGTGCCCGCCACCACCCCTGGTTATTTTTTTAAATATTTTTAGTAGAGGCAGGGTTTCGCCATGTTAGCTGGAATGGTCTTGATCTCCTGAACTCATGATTTTGCCACAACAGCTTTCCAAAGTGCTCAGATTACTCGCTTGAGCCATTGTGCTTGGCCTTGATTATAGATCTGGACACAGACCATCCTCAACTTATTGTCTCTGAGGATAGAAAATTTTGTGATATGAAAGAACAAAACCAAACATTTCTTATAACAAAAGAAGATTTTATTTCTGCCCTGCAGTCCTGGGCTCATCATCTAGGTTATGTGAATCACCTCTTCTGCCTGAACTGTGCTTCAAGTGAAGAGTGCAGGCCTTCTAAACACTGCATCCAAATGACAGGACTCTCTTGCCTTGGCCCTTTCCACAGGTGGAATTGTGACTTATCTTTTGGCTGATCATTTAGGTGATATGAATTTTCTTTCCTGCCTTGTTCCACAAGGCGCATTATGCCATAAAGCTGGGCCTAGCACCCAAGTATTACAATGTTTCTGTTAGAGCCATGCCTTCAAAGAGAATATTGTACCATTTCTGGTTTAGGATTTAGGAGATGTGGTTGCCTGTCTGTTTTTACAACCACAGGTAGATGACGGCAACTGTCTTAAATGAATCAAGGTTCATTTAAGGTTTTCTTATTGAAAATCAAATCTTTAGAATTTTATTTCATCATGACTCATGCACATGTGTATTTTCACTCTAGACTGCTTCCAGCCTACATGTGGAATTTTGATATCTACCTGGTCCACCTTGAAGTGATAAGATTATTCTGCCTGGACTCTGTTCTCGATAAGAATTGTGACATCAGTGGATCAACTACCCAGGTGACATTATATTCTTTTTGCACCATGCTCACAGACATGACTGTGACATATTACTGTGTCCGTCACTTAAAATACATAACTCTCATCTCTGAAACAGGTCCTGCACACAGGGCAGGATAGTGACATAGTCATAGGCTAGGCAAACAGTTCTAACACTATTTTGCCAGGGCTGTGACCAAAAGTGGACATTTTGATATATCACAGGGACTATCATGTGGGTTATACAGCCCTTTTCCTTAGGATCTGCCCACTTGAATTATGACATATTGCTAGCCCAGGCACAAAGGAGATGGTATACTTTTGCAGGGCATGCTTTAAGACAGGCTTTGTGACACATATCTGGGCCTATTACCTAGGTGATGTGACTCATTACTTGGCCCTGCCAACATCAATCATTGTGACCTAAGGGTGGAACCTGCACCTACGTGATGTAACTCTCCTGCCTCGGTCCTTTACTAAGGGGGAATTGTGAATATCTCAGGACCAAGGACCAGTTGATGTAGCTCTTCTGCCTGGTTTCTGTCCACATTTTTAATTGTAAAATATAACTCGGGAGGCACCTAAGTGGTATGACCCTTGTTTTTCTGCCTGCTCCCTGCCTACTTGGGATGCTGAGATTTATCTCTGAGCCCATGACCTAAGTGAAGTGATTCTCTTCTTCTGTTTAGTCTTTACAAAGGGGGATTTGAGACATTGCTGAGCCCAAGACTTAGGTTATTTGATTCTTCTTGTTTTCTTGAACTATGCCCCAAAATAGAATTTTGACCTATTGCAATGTTCAGCATGCAGATAATATTACTCTTTGGCTGGGTTCCTGCATATAGAGAGAATTATGGCATATTGCCCTGCCAAACACCCTGATAATATGACTGCCATGCCTGTGTCAGAGCCACAGAAGGTATTTTGCCATATCTTGGGTCCATTATGTAGGTGTTTTGGCTCTCATAACAAGACTGAGTTTTTTTTCCCACATGTGGGATGGTGTCATATTCCTGAGTCCAACATCCAGTACTGTGACTCTAATTCCTAAACCTGGCCTAGAGAGGACATCAAGGCATTTTGCTTGGCACAGCACCTCAGTGATGTTACCTTTCTGCCTAGGTTTTTTGCCCACTGGGAAAATGGGACTATGGAACTATGATATGTACCTTACTTCAGTTCACTGGAATAATGATCAAACTTATGCTAGGATTCAGCCAATAGAAAATATTTGGCCTTTAATCCTTTGACTTAGGGCAATAGGTAAGGTCCTGAATTGCATATTTGTACCAACTTTACAGAACTTTATAACACTAACTAATAAGGTACAAATTCCTTGTGTGGTACAAAGTTTTATAACATGCACCAGTAAAAAGTTCATATTGGAGCTCTTGATCACACATCCAGGTGAAAGCAAATTTTGTTTCCATCTCACATGTCCAAATGCCACTGTTAAGGTCCTGAGTCTAATGTGTGAAGACAGTATACAGTTGGAAATGTGACCCTCACATGTGGGTCTGGCCACAGGTGGGATGATGACTCATTTCTGGATCCAGCTCACAGGCATAATAATGGGTCTCATCCCTAAAACCAACCTATAGAACAGATATTGACTATTACACTTGGGTTTTTTTTTCACCACGTAAGATCATGAATCTATACAAGCATGTAAGCCTCAGAGTGGTTCGCAACTCTCATACATGCTGTGTGAAGTCTTCAAAGTTACCAGAGTGTCATATAATGACCCAATATATACAAGAGTTTGTGACTCTCATATACACACCTAGCTCACCGTTAATGATGTTACCCTGAAAGACAAAAAGTTTGGCATATTGCTAGATCAAGTGGACTGATGTTGAACCTTTTTGGCTTCAATTCCTTTCCATGGGTGCATTGTCACATATCACTGGATGAGAATCATTACAATGTGACTCCTCTGCCTGGGCCCTGCCAACAGATGATATTTTCATATATCTCTGGGCATATAAGCTAGGTGATTTTTCTCTCCTGCTTGTGCAAGAGAAGACATTGTGAAACATTGCTTGAGTTAACATCTTGATGATGTGACTCTCCTCTCCTGCCTGGGTCCTGTTCAACAAAGAAATTGTGACATACCACTGATTGTAAAACCTAGGTGATGTGTCTATTTTTCATACTCTAGACTCTGACAAGGTACGGGATATTACATATGGGAGAGCCCAGCACCTAGGTAAAGTGACTCTTCTCTTTTTCTACTATCCTATCTAGAATGGGTTTGGTGACACACTGAGTCTGCACGCAGGTGATCTAACTCTTCTGACTAGACCCAACCCAAAAATAAAATAATATGGTATCACTGGTTCAGGGCCCAAGTGATATGACTCTTCTGACGTGTCACTACTCAAAGGTGAAATTGTGACATATACGTGGGTTAAGCTCACATATGCAATAATAACTCTCATACCTGGACCCAGCCAGTAGAGATATTTTTAATCTCATAGCCAGTCTTATGACCATGGATAAAGTCCTGGGTTTTTCAACTATATAAAATATACTAAGGATTATAGCATCCAGGTATATCATATAAAGCCTTAATGGTACAAAGAGTGTCATAACAGAGACCAGCAATGAGGTAAAAAGGTGACTCTTATGCACACCTAGGTGACATGATTGTCATTCTCACATGTGAACAGGGCCTAGGAATGAGGTACTAAATCTCACACACAAAAGCACTCAAAGTTTGACATAATTACTCTCATACGTGGATCTTATTTACAGGTGGCTTGGTGATGTTTGAACCATGATTCAGCATATCTGGGAAGCTATGACTCCCCTACTGGAAAACAATCTTCAAGTGAGATTGGGGCTCCTATACATGGATCTTGCCCATTGTTGAGATTGTGACTCCTCTACTTTGACCCAAATCATAGAAAGGGTTGACTCACAAATACAAAACCAGGACTTGTGTGGGATGTGAAACTTATTTATGAGACTTTGATTAGAACAGGTAACTTTGGCCAGCACAAGAATAATGTGATACTCTTTTCTCAGCCCAGACCACAGATGAAATTCTGCCATATGTGGAAAAAGCACCTAAGCAATATATAACATGTTTCTTGGCTCTGCCTCCAAGGGACACTTTTATATATCACTGAGACCATCACACAGATGATGTGAATTATGTGCCTGAAACCTGCCTACAAAAAGAATGGTGTCTTATATCAAGGTACATCATGTAAGTGATGTAATTCCCTTCTACTGCCTAAGCCATGTGCTTACAGTGCATTGTGACACATGACTGGGTAGGGCACCCATTTGATGTGAGTCTACTTTTTGGAATCTGCCAACAGGAAGCATGGTAAGATATCACTTGGCACAGATTGTAGGTTATGTTTCTTCACTTTTGCCTTGGCCCTGACCACAGGGATATTGTGGCATACTGCTAGGCCCCACACCAATGTGAGGTCACTCGTCAGCCTTGGTATTACACATAAAGGTCATTGTGACATATATCCAGACCAATTGCCTGAATGATGTGAGTCTCCTCTCCTGCCAAAGTCCTGCCCACAGAGGGAGTCTTGATATATCACTGAAATTAGCATCCAGTTGATGTGATCCAACTACCAGGGCAATGACCACAAGGGTTATTGTTCCATCTCACTAGACGAAGACCCACATAGATCATGTGACTTTCTTGCCTTTTCACTGGCCACAGGTGATATTGTGCCATATAACTGAGCTCATAAGAAAAACATAATAACTTAGCCGGGCTTGGTGGCACATGCCTATAATCCCAGCTAATCGGGAGGCTGAGGCAGGAGAATTGCTTGAACCCGGGAGGTGGAGGTTGCAGTAAGCCGAGATCGCGCCACTACACTCCAGCCTGGGTGACACAGCGAGACTCTGTCTCCAAAAAAAAAAAAAAAAAAGGAAAAACATAACAACAACTCATATGCATGGATCCAGGATATGTGCAGAATGGTGACTCTTATTCTTAAACCTTTCCTCAAGTGTAATTGAGACATATAGCCCATCTCCTGGGTGACTTAAAAATTGTAACTAGGTATAGCCCTTGAATGAGATGTTCCTAGATACCTGAGCCAATCACCTTGGTTCTTTGACATAGCTATCTTAACAATGTGTTCAGGGAAGTTAAACATATTTCTGTATATCTAAGTTACATGACTCTCCTCCCCTGCCTGTACTCAGCTTCCTTTGGTAATTGCATCACTTCTAAACACTGCGACTATATAAATATGAGCCTTTGCCTTGACCCTGTCAACAGGAGGCATTGTGACATATTTTTAAGCCCACCATTTATGTGGTATGACTCTCCTCTCTTGCCTGGATGCTGCCCACAGGCACATTGTGCCAGAGAGCTGGACCTAGCACACAAGTTATGTGATATTTCTGATGGGACCCTGCCTACAAAGAGAATGTGGGAATATTTCTAGCCCAGCCTTTAGGTGAGTGTCTGTTCTGCCCTCTTTATAACCAAAGAGGGAAATGTATTTTATATGTAGGCACAGCTCACAGGCATGATAATGATGCTCATATGCAGACTCAGCCAATAGAGAGTACTTTGACTCATGTAACTAGGTTTAGGGACAGGCCTGATATTCTGGATTACCTTCTTGTATAAAGATCACAAAAGATTGCAACATTCACACGTATTTAACAAAGTCTTTTAGTTATACAAACAGAATCAAACTAGAGCTCAGCATGCAGGTGAGATTGTGAGTCTTGTATGCACACCCAGCTGACAGTAAGGACTGTCATAATCTCACATGGATGAAGCCAAATGTAACACATGAAAACAGGACATGCATGGTATTGTAAATATCATCTATGGAATTTTCTGAACAGTGTGATTGTGATATAATTATTTGCCAAGCACATGTGTAATCTGACTCTATAGACTTGTTCCAGCCCGTATATGGGATTGTGATATCTACATAGGCCAACCTCAAAGTGATGTGACTCTCCTGACTGGGCTCTTCTGTCAATAAGCACTGTGATATATCACTTCATTTAGAA